GAGCCTCGCGTGCTAACGCGACCATCGTTATGTTATGAGTGGCGGTGAATAACATAATGGAACAGGTTTCCATTGCTACAATCAATAAGCATTGAAGCTAATTAGTTTGTATCTCTCTCGCGTGCAATGAAAACCCCAAGTGCTGAGCCCTCGAATATTCTATCATGCATGAAAATAATAAGATTAAAGAATCTAAATAATTATTTTATCTTATTATTATATGACTGTTATCCATTGTAATTGTTGTAAAACTTATGATAGCAAATATTTATTTAAACATCTAAATTCAAAACATCATCAGAAATTTGTAGAATATAGATGGAATAAAGACGATACAATGAAAAAACTGTACAACTCTAGGAAAAAGAACCATTTTTCCTAGAGTTCTAGTACAAGGAAAGAAAGACAGAAATGAAAAATAATTTATCTTATTATTTATATGAATAGGAATTATTCAAATTATATTAATATAATAGATGAAGTAGAAAATATAGAACAAGTAATAATTACTGACAATAAAATAAAAAATGTTGTTATTATTCATTAGAAATAATTAAGTTAGGAATTCAATATCTCAAAAATAAAAATGTAAATATTAATATAAATGGAAAAAAGAAAAAGAGTAAAGACAAAGAAAGACCAATGCCAGATATTGAAGCACGGAAAGAAACAGCAGAAAGTGTTAAATCACTAGGCGAAAGTAAGGCTATAAAATGTGATAAATGTAACCATGTTATGAATTTTAAGAATGAATTGACAGTAGATAGAAAAGGTAAACTCAAAGTCAGTTGTGTCCCATGTATGTTTTCTTATAAAAGCTCAGATAAAGATTTTAATATTCAGAAAAGAACAGATGGTGATATGGTTATTGAAACTAACGAACATTTGATTAATGTTAGTTTTAACAGGGACATAAGTTAGTATTTAAAGAGTAGATTTAACATAATTGCACTTTATAAATATAAATAAATAATTATCTAAATAAATATATAGTAATGTCTGAAAATGAGAATTATACTATTAATGATTTAATGAAGAAGATAACATTAATTGGTAAAAATATCAAAACCTTAAATGATATGATTAAATCCATTGATGACAAAATGAAACCAATTGAACGCAATGAAGATAAAGAAAAAATCGAAAAGATATTTCAAGCAAAATCTATAGGAAGACCAACTGGAGACTACCCTACAAAGCAAAAGAAATATTGTGATATGTTGAATACAGGAAAAATCAAACAACCAAAGCAACAAACATTAGAATTTTACAAAATTTCAAAAAATGATGATGGAGTATATGTATTATTTGAATAATTAATATCTAAGTAATTCTAATAATATGAATTTATTAGAATTATTTAGCGGAACAAAAAGCGTTGGAACCATAGCAAAGTCGCTTGGATTTAATGTGATATCATTAGACTTGAAAAATGCTGATATCAACACTGATATTTTGGAGTGGGATTACAAACAGTTTGACAGAAACCATTTTGATTTTATTTGGAGTAGTCCCCCATGCACTGAATACAGCATAGCAAAAACTAGGGGAATTAGGAATATCGAATATGCAAATAGTATTGTCTTAAAAACTATTGAGATTATCAAATATTTCAATCCTAAATATTTTGTAATCGAAAATCCACAAACTGGATTATTAAAACATCAGGAGTTTATGGATGAGTTTGATTTTAAAGATGTTGATTATTGTAAATATGGATTTAATTATAGAAAGAGGACTAGGCTCTGGAATAACATTACAGCTTGGAAACCTAGAGATTTATGTAAAAAGGATTGTGACAACATCAGGAATAATAAACATATTGAAGCTGCACAACGGCTTCCATCGGGCACTAAGGAAAATTGGGGAGACAATCCAACAATACATAAACAGGAAGATTTATATAAAATACCTAGCGAATTAATCTGTGAAATCTTGGTGAGTTTGGTGGATTAAGGATTTTGATTTCAGTAAAGTGGTCTACAGTTTTCAGTAAAGTGGTCTACAGTTTTCAGTAAAGTGGTCTACTGTTTTCAGTAAAGTGGTCTACTGTTTTCAGTAAAGTGTTCTACTGTTTTCAGTAAAGTGGTCTACTGTTTTCAGTAAAGTGGTCTACTGTTTTCAGTAAAGTGGTCTACTGTTTTCAGTAAGTGGCCTACTGTTTTCAGTAAAGTGGTCTACTGCTAAATGGAATAGAACAATCATTAGGACAGCAGTATTATTATCTGGAACACTTCAACCGCCCTGTGTTGAGAAGTTATTATAACCATACTATAATAATAGCACTTATACCCTTATATGTTATAATTGTAATATATTTATCGTTTGTAAAGATTGAAATATTATATTTTTATTAGTTTTTGAGTATGTCCTAAAACTGTATAAAGACTTAGAACTATACATTAATAAGAATCATGGAAAACCAAAGTGAAAGGCAGTGCTCCAAGTGTTGTAGAATGTTAGGAGTTGGAGAGTTTGAAGGTGAAAACAAAAACTGTAATAGGTGTTTAGAACACAGAAGAATATGTTATGAAAAGCATAAGGAAGAATATAGGGCAGAAGCGAATAGAAGGTGGAAGGAAGATGAAGAGTATAGAGAAAAGAAAATGGAAAGGAATAAACAGTGGAACAATAAGTTGTATTTTTGTAGTGAGTGTGATTTGTCTATGTATTTGAGAAATAAAGCAAGGCATGAGAAAACAAGTAAGCATCAAAGAAATGTAGTTGTACAGCTGAATGATGAAATGTGAAAGGTGGAACTATTAGGTGAAATGTGTTTTAGTCATATTTTTAAGTCTGAGTGAAAAATTCGTGAACAATGAATAAGGTAAAAAGAAAAAATGAAGAACAACTGGAGTTTCTGAGAATTGGAAAAAGACTTAAAATATAAAATGAATAAGGATAAACAAATAGTAAAATGAAATAGGTTAAGTAGTGAAAAAATAATGGATAAGGTGTGTATCTTTTCTAGGAATTACTTAGAATGAATAAGGTTGTGATTTATTAACCTTATCTATTATTTGATACTTGGTTTTTCAATGTGTTTTTCATTGGTTGATAGAAAAAATAGTAAAAGGATTTTCAGTTCCTTCAAATCCCCTTTTACTATTTTTTTGGGGGGGGGGTAACCTCGTTCCAGGTGATTTGCAGGTCTGGTCAGCCGAAAAATACTCCCAAAAAATGGGAGTATTTTTTGGAGCACTTTCTGCCACCGCAAGGCTGGTTTTTGGTGTTTTCCCTGTGTTTTTCGCGCTTTTTCGTCGACGCTGCCTATCATGTCTGACCTTTTCGTCTGTGGCTCTCGCGGGCCAAAAAGCGTGCCAGTTTTACATCATTTTTCTTTGCTTCCGGCCTCGCCGGACTTGGGCGCACAAGGGGTGCCGGGGATGCAGGGGATGCCGGGGATGCAGGGGATGTCGCTTGTTTTGGAAGTTTTTGTGGCGGTCGGCGATGCTGGGGATGTCGCAGGAAAAATACTCCCATTTTTTGGGAGTATCTTTTGGAGCACTTTCTGGCACCGCAAGGCTGGTTTGCAGGTCCCAGGGAGACGACACGGGGTGTGTAAGCACAGGCGCTGGTTTGGGTTGTTGCTTGTATGTGATTCAGTGCAGGAGGGTTGTGCAGTTGTTGGTTTGCTCTGACTTGGGTCAAGCTGGCAAGGGACAGCAAGGGACAGCAAGGCAAAGCAAGGCAAACCAAGGGAAAGCAAGGGCAAAGGAAGCGAAAGTAGGGGAAAGCAAGCCAGGCAAGGGAAAGCAAGGGACAGCAATGGACAGCAAGGGAAAGCAAGCAACAGCACGGGCAAAACAAGTCAAAGCAAAGGAAAGCAAGGGACAGCAAGGGACAGCAACAAAAAAGCAAGGGAAAGCAAGGGACACACAAGGGAAAGCAAGGGACAGCAAGGCAAAGCAAGCGAAAGCACAGGCAAAGCAAGGCAAAGCAAAGGAAAGCAAGGGACAGCAGGCAAGGGACTGCAAGGGAAATGAGGGGAAAGCAAGGGAAAGGGAAAGCAATGGAAAGCAAGGCAACGCAAAGGAAAGCAAGGACAAGCAAAGGAAAGCAAAGGACCGCAAGGGAAAACAAGGGAGAGCAAGGCAAAGCAAGCAAAAGCACGGGCAAAGCAAGGGAAAGAAAGGGAAAGGAAAGCAGGGACAAGCAAACGAAAGCAAGGGACAGCCAGGGAAGGCAAGGGAAAGCAAGGGAAAACAAGTGAGAGCAAGGCAAAGCAAGCAAAGCAAGGCAAAGCAAAGGAAGGCAAGGGAAAGCAAGGGAAAGCAAGTGAAAGGGAAAACAAGTGAAAGCAAGGGATAGCAGGGCAAAGAAAGCAAAAGCATGGGCAAAGCAACGCAAAGCAAAGGAACACAAGGGAAAGGAAGGGACAGCAAGGCAAAGCAAGCAAAAGCACGGGCAAAGCAAGGCAAAGCAAGGGAAAGCAAGAGACAGCAAGACAGCAAGGCAAAGCAAGCAAAAGCACGGGCACAGAAAGGCAAAGCAAAGGAAAGCAAGGGACAGCAAGGGAACACAAGGGAAAACAAGGGAAAACAAGGGAAAGCAAGGGACAGCAAGGCAAGGGAAGCAAGGGAAAACAAGGTAAAGCAAGGGGCAGCAAGGCAAAGCAAGCAAAAGCACGGGCAAAGCAAGGGACAGCAAGGGAAAGCAAGCGAAAACAAGGGAAAGCAAGGGACAGCAAGGCAAAGCAAGCTACAGCACGGGCAAAGCAAGGCAAGGCAAAGGAAAGCAAGGGACAGCAAGGGAAAGCAAGGAAATGGGAAAGCCTCGGAAAGGGAAAGCAAGGGAAAGCAAGGCAACGCAAGGGAAAAAGCAGGGTCAAGCGAAGGAAGGCAAGGGAAAGGGAAAGCCATCGCATGCCGTGGCAGGCGCAATCCGTTCTTTGCCGGACTGGTTTGCAGATCTGCCTGTTTCTTCTTCCATGTTGTTTTCGTGCTTTCGTTTCTGGATGTTTCTGGATGTTTCTGGATGTTTCTGGATGTTTCTCTTAGGCCCGGCGGCGCCAGCGTTGCCGGGCACAGGCGCTGCAGTTGCTGGGCCTCGAGGGCCTGGCAGGGCCTGGGGCACGGGCGCTGGGGGCGATGCCGCTCAACGCCTTCGGCCTTTTTGCCGAGGAGCGAAGAAAGAATTGGAAAAACGAAAGCATCGAAATAATAAATTAAATAATCGAAATGACATAGAACTGCCAAGGAAAGAAAACGCAGGACAAGCAGGAAGGCCAGTGCCTGGCCCCTGTGGCCTCGCCGTGGCCTCGGGTCACTCAGCGCCCGGCACGCCCAAACCCTGGCCCAGGCTTTTAAACCACAGCATGACCCCTAGTCGAGCGGCGAGCAGTCAGAGTCAGAATTTCAGATGTCAGACGCAGAGGCTGCATCCCGAACTGTGTCCATCGCATCGAGCACGGATTGGTTTGCCTCTATGCTTTGCGGGACATCCAAGTTGACGAGGAGATCACGCCGAATTCTTAGCCACGCTACATAGGCTTGGCAATGAGGCACGGGGAATTCGGGATGCAGCCAACACATTGATACTCATACTCGCAGGAGATCGACGCTGGTGAACAGGGTTGAACAAAACGTGTGTCACCTCACACGGTGTCTCATGGCGCAGTGACTTGATCCGCCAGCATGGCAGGATGTGTCGCTGAGTTTTTCTTGCCCAAAGCAACCTCGGGATAGCATTAGAGAGGGAGAGAGAAGAGGCCTGCGTGCTCCATCCGAAGCAAATCTCAATCCAGAGCGTGTTCAGCTGGTGCAGTGTCTTGCCAGGACATGAACTGTAGGAATAGTTGGAGCCTAGAGCCCAGGTTTTGTTCAGGAGACAGTTGGGGCTGCATGCATCAGCCCAACTGCAGTATAGTTTAGCTCAGCCTATAAGTCAGAGGCCCAATTGATCTCGAGCGAATACAACTCAAGTTTGCAGGCCAAGCTGTTTGTTTGTGCCGCTGTTTGTTGGGTTTTGTGCTTGGTTCAATGGCCTGTCCGATTTTCTGTGGCAACATACCTGCAGGCTTGGCAATTTCAAAATCAAATGTCAGAGTTGAGATCTCTTGACGCATAGCAAACGAGATCTTGCGGCACATTCAAAGCGAGTCAGTCACGTGACGAAGCGTGAGCCACGAGCTGTGAGGTTCTCGTATATCGATGTGTCCACGCCCTCCGAGGACGTGCACTGTGGGCATTGGCATTGCATTGGGAATTGGATGGCATCGGGCACTCATGTCGGGTGCATTTTCTTGCTGCATGGGAGGGGCACTGCATTGGGCTCGGGAGCTAGTGACATGCCCATAGGACAGGAAGCGCCTGATTACGTCAAGTTGGAATTTCTCTTGTTGCTGCGACCGTTGCACAGGGAAACCTGGTCCAAGACAGGCGTTGTTGTTTGCGTGTTAAGCGCCGCAAGATCGCAATGTGTGATGCAAGATTTGCTCAGGAAGAAGCCAGACATATTGGCGGCATTTGATGCGGAGCACGTACCTTCGGCATTGAGTTGCTGGCAATTTTTGCTTGTGGGCGCTATGTGAATGCGCAGTATTTCTTCTGCCGACAGGTTTGTGCTTGCGGAGCACTTCTGGTGCACAGGGATGATTGCTGCACTGACAAAAGTCCGCTTGTGTTGCATCTCATATTGCGATGCTATGTCCTGAAAACTCTTTGCTTCCCCAGAAGGTCATTGAACCTTTAATTGCATGAGCTTTTCTTGCTCGAAGGTCGCCTTTTCAGAGGTGAGTTAGAGGTTCAAGACGAGCCACTGACTCGGTTAGTTCACTCAAAGCGCGCGCAGGCAATGCACGGTCGTCCTCGTGTCTATGTCCGGTTTCGCCCCGACGCAAGGCTCCCAGCGTTGAAAGGGCCTGGTGTCGCGGTCGAAACCGGGGCGACCAAAGGCATCGCGCTGGAGTCCGAGAACACCATCAAATTTCCTTGGAAGTCACAGCACAAGGAGAAGGATATTAAGGTGCAGGTGGATCATGCTTTCCCGGAGGATTCTACACAAGATGCCGTTTACTCCAGGGTCGGCCCGGAAATGCTCGACTTTGTTCTGCGAGGCTTCCGGGGGCTTATTTGCACCTATGGCATCACAGGGTCCGGGAAGACACATACTATGCTCGGGAAGGACGGGAAGGACGGTGACGGCTTGGCCCAGCGTGTCATTGAGGAGCTGTTCCTTCGGAGTTTGCCTGACCTCACCGTGCGCATGCAGGCGATTCAGCTGCACAGGAATGACTTCAGTGATCTCGGCGTTCCCGAGACACCGCTTTTGAAGGTGCAAAGCGCGAACGAGACCGGAGCAAAGGAGCACGAGTTCACGAGCGCCGAGCCAGCTCTCCAGTGGCTCAAGGAAGTGCTCTTGCGCCGCAAGGGGGCCAAAACTACCAAATCATCCCGAGCTCATTTCTTGCTCCGCCTGAAGATCCAGTTCTCATCAGGCGGTGCGAGTAACAGCGCTGTGCTGGATCTTGCTGATCTTGCCGGCTGTGAGAAGTTGGATGAAAATCTGGACAAGGATGCGAAGAGAGACCACATCACCATCCAGGCAGGCTTGAGCAATCTGCGGCACTGCATCGAAGCCAAGGTGAAAAACAAGTCAGTGCCTTTCACCTACTTCAGCTTGCCCCGATTGCTGGCTCCAGATTTCAACGGAGATGCTTCGATCTCTTTTGTGATCAACTGCCCCAGCTGCGACGACACGGAGCGCGTGGCTGAGACCTCGGAGACCTTGGACTTGGCGCGGTTCATTCTTCGGCTGGAGCTCGCGTGCAAGGCCCAGAAGGCCACCGTGCAGCTGACGCCTGAGGACTTGTTGAAGGCGGCGGAGCACCGACGCGTCCTGCCGGCCGCCCCGGCCGAGCCGGCCGAGCCGTTCGAGTCCTCGGCCGAGAACCAGAAAGAGATCAGAAAGCTGAGGAAGAAGCTGGAGAAGAAGAGCCAAGAAGTGGACGAGCTGATGGAGCAGCTGGAAAGGCAGCAGCTGGCCCCACGAATGAAGCAGCTGGACCTGCAAAACGCATCACGAGATGAAGTGAGGCAGCTGCTGAAGGAAGTCGAGAAGCAGTACCCCGAAATCCTGCAGCAGACATGGCCTCAATGGGCAGAGCAACTCGAGAAAGGTGCTGACATTAAGACGCAGTTCTCGGATTTGCAAAAGGCAGTCGGTCAGCATGAGCAACACCTCCAGTCACTGCAGTGGCTGCTGCAGCGGAAGGAGGAGCTAACTGCGATCATTTAACAGGGATGCGTGCAGTGATGCAATGCTCGCGGATTGCCAACCTGCTTGCCATGACGCATGTAATATGTATACATGCATAGCTGCAAGCATGTACATGCAAAAGCGTTTTTGTGTGTGTGTGGCTTTGTGTTTGTGTGTTTGTGTGTGTTTGTGTGTGTTTGTGTGTGTTTGTGTGTTTGTGTGTTTGTGTGTGTGTGTGTGTGTGTGTGTGCGTGCGTGCGTGCGTGCATGCGTGCGTGCGTGCGTGCGTGCGGGCGTGGTGCGTGCGGGCGGGCGGGGCGGGCGGGCGGGCGGGCGGGCGGGCGGCGCTCGCGCGCGCGCCGTGTGTGTGTGTGTGTGTGTGTGGTGTGTGTGTGTGTGTGTGTGTGTGTGTGTGTGTGTGTGTGTGTGTGTGTGTGTGTGTGTGTGTGTGTGTGTGTGTTGTGTGTGTGTGTGTGTGTGTGTGTGTGTGTGTGTGTGTGTGTGTGTGTGTGTGTGTGTGTGTGTGTGTGTGTGTGTGTGTGTGTGTGGTGTTGTGTGTGTGTGTGTGTGTGTGTGTGTGTGTGTGTGTGTGTGTGTGTGTGTGTGTGTGTGTGTGTGTGTGTGTGTGTGTGTGTGTGTGTGTGTGTCGCGTGTGTGTGTGTGTCTCTGCGTTGTGTTGTGTTGTGTTGCATTGCGTTGTGTTGTGTTGTGTTGGTGTGTGTGTGTGGGTGTGTGTGTGTGCTTGTGTGTGCGCGTGTGTGCGCGCTCGTGCGTGTGCGTGCGCATGCGTGTCAGTGTGCGTGCGTGTGCGTGCGCGTGCGAGCGTGCGTGCGTATGCGTATGTGCGTGCGTATGCGTGTGCGTGTGTGCGTGTGTGTGCGTGTGTGCCTGTGTGTGTGTGTGTGTGTCTCTGTGTGTGTGTCTGTCTGTGTGTCTGTCTGTGTGTCTGTCTGTGTGTCTGTCTGTGTCTGTCTGTGGTCTGTCTGTGTGTCTCTCTGTGTGTCTCTCTGTGTGTCTCTCTGTGTGTCTGTGTCTGTGTGTGTGTCTGTCTGTGTGTCTGTCTGTCCTGTCCTGTCCTGTCCTGTCCTGTCCTGTCCTGTCCTGTCCTGTCCTGTCCTGTCCTGTCCTGTCCTGTCCTGTCCTGTCCTGTCCTGTCCTGTCCTGTCTGTCTGTCTGTCTGTGTCTGTGTGTCTGTGTCTGTGTCTGTGTGTCTGTGTCTGTGTGTCTGTGTCTGTGTCTGTGTCTGTGTCTGTGTCTGTGTCTGTGTCTGTGTCTGTGTCTGTGTCTGTGTCTGTGTCTGTGTCTGTGTCTGTGTCTCTGTCTGTCTGTCTGTCTGTCTGTCTGTCTGTCTGTCTGTCTGTCTGTCTGTCTGTCTGTCTGTCTGTGTGTCTCTGTGTCGGTCGGTCGGTCGGTCGGTTGGTCGGTCGGTCGGTCGGTCTGTCTGTCTGTCTGTCTGTGTGTCTGTCTGTCTGTCTCTCTGTGTGTCTCTCTGTGTGTCTCTGTGTGTCTCTCTGTCTGTCTCTCTGTCTGTCTGTCTGTATTGGCAAGTGGTTGTGGTGCTATAGTGTTGTGTTGTGGCAAGTGGTTGTCCGTAGTGATTGGTTGTATCACAGCTCTCATGACTCCATCGTGGTCCATTAGTGGTTGTAGCTCGTGACCTTTACGAATGTTGATCCGCTTGATGGCCAAGTAGAAGAGTCCTCTCTGTCGAAGTATATAGTGGTGCTGTGCTGTAACCTCTCTGAAAGTGTTGTGTGTCCAGTTTCAAGTTGCCTGTTTGTGACCGTGAGAGTTGCGGGGTGGTAGCGCAGGGCCGGAGTGGTATATCTGGTGCGGAGTCTCTGGGACAAACATGTGTGGATGCTCCGGAGTCTAGTAGTAGGAAGTGAAGTTGTTCCTGATGTTGTTGTTGACTGGTGTCCTGCATCTGGTACTTGTAGTACCTGTTGTAGTGCCTGCTCGCATTTCTGTAGTAGTAGGCCTGGTTCTTGTCTTCGTAGTGTCCGAGAACCAGCCTTTCGTTGATTCCACTGATGTTGTGGGTTGTGTCGTAGTCACCTGATGTGCCAAATTGGTCGTCGTAGTTCCACCAATCTTGTTCTGCTTGATTGCAGTCCCATTCTGGTTCTGTCCAACTGTCTCCGGTGTCATCTGCATAGTCTGTAGTTGTGTAGTCTTCCCAATCTTGTGCGTAGATCTCTTCCATCTCGTGATCGTAGTCTTCTTGAGGCTCTCCTTCATGTAGTTGCCAAAGTGCCATTCTGCATTCTGAAGTGTAGTGGCCGCACCTGCCGCATTTGCAGTATGTTCCTTTTCCTTGGATGTTGTTGTAGTTTCCTTTACATTTTTTTGGCCTTTGCTGTCTTTACTGTAGTTATGGCCGTAGTTTCCTTTTCCTTTGTTGCCCCATCTTTCCTTGAATGGCCATGGTGGTGTTCCTTTGCCTTTTCCTTTGTAATTGGCTTTTCCTTTTCCTCGTTGTCCTTTGTAGCTTCCTTTCTGTCGTTCCTTTCTTCCAAAGGTTGTCAACGTCCAGTGCTGCTGGTCCACCTCCGTAGTTGCTACCACCTGCCGATGATGTGGTTGCATTATGTTGCATTCATCTTGGAGAATGCCGAGATGGTCTTGTAGTACTCGATCACCACATCACGTACTGCCGTGTAGGTAGTCATTGTTCCAGCTCGTAGTTGAAGGTGTTGCTGTAGTGCTGTGTTTGTCTCATTGAGTAGTACTTCACTCCATCTGGTAGTGCTGCTCCGTTGTCGTGCTCGTACCTTTTGAGGTCATATTCCCATTGTAGAAACTGCTCTTCAAACTGTTGTTCACTGACTGAAGGCTTCAGTAGTTTGGTCAAGTAGCCAACGCTTCTTGTACCAACTGGTAGGCTGAACCTTTTGTTTTTTCAAAAGTCGTAGTGTTTCGCACACATTGGCGGTGTAGCGGTTTTGTCTGACCACTGTAGCTGCTGGGCCTTGACAGATGCTGATGAGGATGTAGTGTAGATCACGTGCAAGGTTGTCTGTCTGTCTGTCTGTATGTCTGTCTGTGTGTGTGTGTGTCTGTGTGTGTGTTTCTGTGTGTGTGTGTGTCTGTGTGTGTGTGTGTCTGTGTGTGTGTCTGTGTGTGTCTGTGTGTGTTTGTGTGTGTGTCTGTGTGTGTGTCTCTGTGTCTCTCTCTGTGTGTCTGTCTGTTTGTCTCTGTGTGTCTGTCTGTGTGTCTCTCTGTGTGTCTCTCTGTGTGTCTCTCTGTGTGTCTCTCTGTGTGTCTCTCTGTGTGTCTCTCTGTGTGTCTCTCTCTGTCTCTCTCTCTGTGTCTCTGTCTGTGTCTCTGTCTGTTTGTCTCTGTGTGTGTCTCTGTGTCTCTCTGTGTGTCTCTATGTCTCTGTGTGTCTCTATGTGTCTCTGTCTGTCTCTGTGTGTCTCTGTGTGTCTCTCTGTGTGTCTCTGTGTGTCTCTGTGTGTCTCTGTGTGTCTTTGTGCGTCTCTGTGCGTCTCTGTGCGTCTTTGTGTGTCTCTGTGTGTCTCTGTGTGTGTCTCTATGTCTCTGTGTGTCTCTATGTGTCTCTGCCTGTCTCTGTGTGTCTCTCTGTGTGTCTCTGTGTGTGTGTCTGTGTGTCTCTGTGTGTCTCTGTGTGTCTTTGTGCGTCTCTGTGCGTCTCTGTGCGTCTTTGTGCGTCTCTGTGTGTCTCTGTGTGTCTCTGTGTGTCTCTGTGTGTCTCTGTGTGTCTCTGTGTGTGTGTGTCTCTGTGTGTGTGTGTCTTTGTGTGTGTGCGTGTCTTTGTGTGTGCGTGTCTTTGTGCGTGTGTCTTTGTGTCTGTGTGTGTCTTTGTGTGTGTGTGACTTTGTGTGTGTGTGTCTTGTGTGTGTGTTGTGTGTTTGTGTGTCTGTCTCTGTGTCTGTGTCTGCGTCTGTGTCTGTGTCTGATTGTGTCTGTGTCTGTGTCTGTGTGTGTGTCCGTGTCTGTGTCTGTGTCTGTGTCTGTGTCTTTGTGTGTCTGTGTCTGTGTCTGTGTCTGTGTCTGTGTCTGTGTGTCTTTTTCTGTGTGTCTGTGTCTGCGTGTGTGTCTGTGTGTGTGTCTGTGTGTGTGTGTTAAACCCCTGTTCCTAAGGGGCCTTCGGTTTTTGCTCGGTTTCTCGGAGTCGGACGCCACCTTCATTCATGTCCTGACATGCAGTAGCCAGATTGGCCGTTGGCGTCCCTGAAGAGGAGACTTGCACCTCTGACTTTTACCAAAGACTTTCACCGTTGACTTTCGGCCTTTCACTTGGACCCGTACCAGACCCTCACCTCTTAGGTCTCCGGCCCACTAGGTAGCACACGATCCAGGAACATGGCGCGCCCCAATGCTGGGCCGATCCCTAGGACATCGGGACCTATGTCAAATCCTGGCCCTACTACCTCAGGCCCAACCCCCTGCGTTCACATTTGCAGACGACGACGTCTCCTACCAGGACTCCGTTGGTCAGGCAACCGAGTAACACCCGAAGTGGCCCATCACCCATAGCACGGCCTTCATCAGCGCCCAAGCCACGAGTCCATTGCCTAGACGCCGAGCTTCAGCATATCGCTCGGCAGGGCCTTTGCCGCTCATTCAAACCAAGGCCAGGCCCATCCCCCCTCCGCCGGCGAAGGCCACGACTACTGCTAGTGGCCTTCCGGGGCCCCGGATGGCCTTGCTTCCTGTCATGGCCCCTGCATGGCCCTGCTTCACCTACTTTCCCCTGCGTGGCCTTGCTTCACCCACTTTGCTTCGTGTCATGACCCCTGCGTGGCATTCCGTGGCCCCCGCATGGCCTTGCTTCACCTACTTTGCTTCCTGTCATGACCCGTGCGTGGCCTTCTGTGGCCCCCGCGTGGCCTTTCTTCGCCTACTTTGCTTCCTGTCATGCGTGGCCTTCCGTGGCCGCCGCGTGGCCTTACTTTGCTCACTTTCTACTTTGCTTCCTGTCTTGGCCTCTGCGTGGCCTTCCATGGCCGCCGCCGCCGCGTGGCCTTGCTTCGCCTATTTTGCTTCCTGTC